ATTAAGTTGAGGGTTACTGTGTTTATTTATACTCGTGGTTTTTGCCAGGATTTTAGGTCTTTTGCAACCTTTGGGGTTTTATTGAGGTTTTGAAACAAAGCCTGAAAAAGTGTTGGGCGTAGACGCTGGGCAGCAATAGATGTGTTGTGTTGTGCAATCAAATAATAGCACCTCTGCACAATGCCACTCACGAAAACGTGATACATTTGCTGCTTTGGTTTTGTTTCCTCGCTCACTTCAGGTCTGTGCATTGTGCAACACCTCCTCACATATGTGTTTGTGAACCTGAACCACCATAGATCCCCTTGGATCCTGTTCCAACATCAAATTAGGTAATGATTTTTATTCATGAAGTCAGACTTTCAGTGCCAAATGCCTGTGCCAGGTAAAAGCATGGTTCTTGTGCAGGGGTAGAAACCTCTGACGATAACAGATCACTGTTGAGCTAACAGCATGCTGTGAGTGAATGCAAATACAGGATATATTAGCAGAGTGTTACACTTTCCTGGCCAGACATGCCATTGGCCAGGGGTGAAGGTCAACCAGTAGGCAGAGGGAATTCTGTGAGGAAATTCTGAATGTATTTGTCAAGTTGGCAGGTCTCTGTGTGTTACATTGTACATATTTTAGCTGACCCCTAAATCATATCTAGAGGAAAATTTAAATGCTCAGATGTTGCTCTTTCATACCTCAGTATATTATCCATTCCAGTATCACCATTGTCATATGTTTACTAAAACTTGTTTGTAGAGGAAAAACAACAGAAACAAATGAGACTGCTGCTGACATACAGTAAGATTTGGAACTTGGAAAGTTGGAGTTTGATATAATTTGATGAGAAATGTTTTAGTTTATATTGAAATAGTTCTGATTAGACTTTGCATCTTGGTGAATCCGAGCACAGTTTGAGACACTGTTGAGATCTTTTCTGAAACTCTGGACACATTTACTAGGGTGATCATGTTGTTATTGTTTACTAAAGTATTGAAAAATAGTTTTCGGTAATTAAAATAAAACTGATATAAATATAAATATTAGATAACGAACTTCAAACTTTAATGAAAATTAGCCTTGGCAGCTAACTTGAAATAAATAAGTTGAAGTACCAAAATGATCTAATCACTTCACGACCAATAAAAAAAAAGTATGTTTTATATAGTATGAATGTGTGTGGTATGAATGTAATCTGGATGTAATAGATGACCTACCAGCCTCTGTTGTGTCGCTTCACTGCCATTCATAAATCCTGTCCTGTGGCCGGATTGTAAAGTGTCCATCGAATGCACACTTCAGAATCTCACCAGATTCTTCATTAGGCTTTTTGGCTAATCTTTTATGAGTACTGTGAATTCAGACATATTTCTTTTGTCACATACTGTTTTTTTCCTACTATATAGAAAGTATGCGATTTCGGATGCAGCCATAGTGAAGGGTAGGGTTAGTGGTTGGGACGGGATACGCGATCGTCAGCACCACCGTAACTTCCGGTCTGATGTTGCTGGCCTGGTGCTGCTGTCCTCAGACTGCTGTGATGTGTGGTTCTGCGGTTCTGCAGTCACCTGACCGCTACAGGTTCCTTTAGGCATTGAGAGTGGTGCCATAAAAAAGGCCTAATTCCCAGTGAACAGCTCTGAATAGACCGTCACGTGTTGTCATCTCGAGACTATAGTAATTACGCCATTGCATGAACGCAGCATAGCACACCACAGCTAATTATCCTTGTGATGCATAACACATAAAACAACTTAAGTGAATCAAGTCCTTTGATTACTAAGTGTGTAATGGAGATATATCCATGTGACTGTTATATACTGTTTTAAAGGAGAACTCCGGCGCAAAATGAACCTTTGGTCTAATTACACATTGTTACCTAGTCAACCGTTATCTGAGATTTGTTTTCATGATTATCGAATGTAAATAGTTTTATCTCTAAAAACAGTTTAGCCTATAAAGCTAGTATAATGCTAGTATATTGGGCATAGTGTAATGACAAATAAAAATCGCTTGTTAATACCACTAACAAGGCTGAAAATAGCCCCACACTAACACGGTAGCATAATGAGGGTCCCTACCTTCAAACCGAAGCATTGAGAACTTTGTCAGTGTCCAGACAGTTTAATAAGAAGATATTTTAAACATACAGTCAACTTCGCGTATACAGACAGGAGCCATCTTTGAAATACAGTCTTTACCAGTCGATCTACGAACGCCGATCCAAGCCTGCTGGTCGCGCTCACCTTATCACAACTTATAGCTCGTTCACATTCTCACCAGCGCACTTGGATCGGCGTTCGTAGATCGACTGGTAAAGACTGTATTTCAAAGATGGCTCCTGTCTGTATACGCGAAGTTGACTGTATGTTTAAAATATCTTCTTATTAAACTGTCTGGACACTGACAAAGTTCTCAATGCTTCGGTTTGAAGGTAGGGACCCTCATTATGCTACCGTGTTAGTGTGGGGCTATTTTGAGCCTTGTTAGTGGTATTAACAAGCGATTTTTATTTGTCATTACACTATGCCCAATATACTAGCGTTATACTAGCTTTATAGGCTAAACTGTTTTTAGAGATAAAACTATTTACATTCGATAATCATGAAAACAAATCTCAGATAACGGTTGACTAGGTAACAATGTGTAATTAGACCAAAGGTTCATTTTGCGCCGGAGTTCTCCTTTAAGCAGGTACCTCACAGAACAACCAAACACTGAATTTGTTCTTTATTCTTACTTGGGCTTGATGAATTCCCAACATTCCTGGTAAATAACATAAAAGGTTGTGTGGCATTGTGTTGAAGTCTTTAAAGTTAATAACCTATTTTTTTCTTCAAGATTGGTCCTAACTTTTTGAAGTCAGTTACAGAAAAGGTAGTTTGGTCGAATCTAAATCTGAAAAGTAAGAGTGATTACCTCATGTACAACTGCTAGTTAGTCAAACTAGTTATTACGACACAGTCTTAACATAGAGGCTAAGTTTATGCAACTGGCCCCTGCACTTTAAAGTATAAGTACATACTTGTGCATTAAACTCCTTAACATGATTTACCAAAGTAGATTGTGCTCCTGTATCAATTTCCTTGTTGACCACAAACAACATTCGTTTCAACCTATCAAACCTTATTTTTAGAGCTATCATTGCCTTTGATTTTATGGGATGGGTTGGCTTATGATTGTTTGATAGGAAAGTTATTACAAATAAACAATGTTGATCGAGGAACGTCATACTTGGGTAAATTGTGTTATGCATTTTAGTTTAGTATGTCATAAATTTAAGTTTGCCAGCTCCAGGACCTTAATAAAAATTACTACAATGCTGAATCTCACATAGAAATGTCTAGATCATATTTCACCCCCAAATTAAAAGACAAAAAGAAATTTGCATATGAAAATTAGACTTGGCATATTTTGCATAAATATCATCCTCATTACAGTAAGGCAAAAGAAATATAATTCTCATTACTGAAAATGATCCACAATGGAAAAATCTGCTTAATTTTCTTTATGGAAATATAATTAGATGTCCAAGCACAGGAGGTACAGGAACTCAGTTTAAGATATAAGATTAAATATAAGGCAGTTATATCTTTGCACATGGGCTACAATGACTAATTTAACTGTTTTTCTTAATGCAAAGTTTTATGACAGTTTTTTTTATTATGTCAAATTCTGCTCATAGGGGATGAAACAACTAAAAAAAACCTAACACCATTTGCTCAAGGAAGTTGTCAATTTTATATCCTAACATTATGATTCTACTAACTAATAAAACGACCATCAACAGCCAATCAAAATTCAGCAGTTGAAATTTGACACCAAAACAACTTCAGGATATATTCGTTCTAATGTGATCATTTTGGCATGTTCTCTCCACATGCGCTAGGACCAGAATAATTGCAGTGTTTAGCTTCGTTTTCATTTTTTCGTGTGGTTTTGGGGTGAAATATGACTTTCTTGAGAGTTTTTGTTAGACTCACACCACAATACCTTTTTAAGGGGCTTGATGACCTTAATGTACAGAGCATAGGTGATTCAACCACTCTTTTGTGTGTTTATATAGTGCACTTCTCTTTAACACAGCCACAGGGACTTTAGTAAAGGGCACATAAGGACAGGGTTGTTCTTATAGCTAGAGGAGAGATCTGAGCAGAACTACAGAGGTGATGATTCCCCCACACACGTTGGGTTTCCATGTTTTATGGGGACTTTCCATAGACATAATGTTTTTTATACTGTACAATTGAAATATGCTGTCCTCTAGCCCTAACCCTACCTCTTTACATTTTCAAAAATCCTAATTTAGTATGATTTATAAGGTGTTTTCCTCATGGGGACCAAGGTCAAAAATGACTTGTATCACTATCTTTGTGGGGACATTTGGTCCCCACAATGTAGGGTTTACCAGGACCACACACACACACACACACACACACACACACACACTCACAGTGTCATGACGAGTGTTGTAGAGTTGTGATGAATTTGGCTGTTGGCTGAAGGCAGCAGATGGGTCAGCAGAGGATCCGTGTAAGCACTTCCTACTGCCTCTCTCCGGCATTAATGAGAAAACCACTTCAAAACAAACTCAACGTTCTTTCTAATCTGCTAATGGCAGTAACGGTAGCAGCCGCCATGTTTCTACAGAAAACTCTGTCAGTATGAGTTAGTTCAGCTATGCTAAAATAATATATTTATATCTGGATTATGTGTAGACTTTTAACTGGATATATAATTTGTTGTTCTCTCAATTTCATAAGAAACTGTCAGAATGAGTTATTTTAGCTATGCTAAGAAAAATGAATAATTCAGTTATATTCAATTATATATACAATTATGTTATATTACAATGTAGTTGCGTACAAATGTAAATAGTAATTCTTATTACACATTCTTATTATACGCGATTCTGATTGGTCGATTATGGAATTTTGCTGTGAAATCTTTATGGAAGTAATGTGTAATGATTGAACAAAAGTCTCTCTCTCTCTCTCTCTCCCTTTAAGGCTTGGCTGCAGAGGTATGGCTACCTCCCTCCCACAGACCCCAGAATGTCCGTCCTGCGGTCAGATCAGACCATGCAGTCTGCTATCGCTGCCATGCAGCGTCTCTACGGCCTTAATGTCACCGGTGAACTGGATAAGAACACCATTAAGTGAGTAGCAGTTACACTCTCACTATAGCTCCCATATTGACTGATTCTGGGTCAGAAGTTTAAGATGATGTTGTTCTTCTCAGAGACTCTTTAACATTGCTGACTGTGCACATTGCACAACACAATGCCCATAAGTGCCCTTAAGGTGATTGACCCTGTTGAAAAGACCAATAAAGATGGATGCCAGTTTGGTTACCAATCATGAGGTTTTTCTACCAGCAGTGGCGCTAGCAATACAGGTCATAGGTTCAATGCATGAACTAATACAATTAAAAACATCTACCAGATGCATACATTTAATTTAGAATATTCTATACCACCAGCGAGATCAGTGTAAACCAGTCTGGTCCAACTTGAAAATTTATGCTGGCCTAATTTGACCATTTCAGTAGGGTAAAAAGATGGGAAATGCCTGATTTAATTTCAGAAACGTCTTCGCAAACTGCTCAAAGCTCTAAAACACAACATGATAAATGGATTGATAATATAAAATGTATCTCCTGCTTACTGAATATGGTGTACAGCAGTGATTCCCAACCAGGTGTATAAGACATGTTTCTAGTTTAGTGTTATTAAAAGGTACTTGAGCCTTTGTGATAAGACTTAGGAGCTTTATATGACTGAACATGTTGGGAAACACTGATGTACAACATCTGGCCGCTAGGATCATGGTGTTTTCATATCTCTTATGTACTGTTTTTGCTTCCTTTTTGCTTCGGCATAGTGATATCACCATAAGGTGAGGCTGATTCTTCTCTTGTGATTTGTTTGTATGCATTCAAAACCAAACTTGTCTCTGTTCCTCTCTCTCTCTCTCTCTCTCTCTCTGTGAACTCTATTGAAGTTGTTCTTAGCAAGATCAGAATGAGAGGAAGCTGAGTATCATGAAATATATATTAGTGATAGTGGAAAGCATTCATTAGCAGATATTTGGCTTCTCTACATATTGGTATTGGAATTGGATATTAAAAACAAGGTGGTCCTACTGCTACTAAATGCAAAAATGCAAAGTAAGTTAACTATACCACAATATAGTTTGACATGATGTATATAAACTTTTGAGACGTTATTCTGGAATGTTAATTCATCAAGGAACATTTTAGAGGCCCAGACAGGCTGAATGTCATGAGTGAGAAGCAATGC